AGAAATCACATGGTACCAAATCTGGGGTGTAGGGAGGGCTGAGTCACATGGTTGTTTTGATGTTTTGCAAAAAACCCTCTGCAAGATATGTGATATCTGAGTGGGCACATTCATGTGATGAAGCTGCCAATCACTAGTTGCCCACCAGTATGGCCATTTTTGTCATATTGGATCTCTCAATCGACAAAGAACATGGAGGTAAGTATTCCTTATTAAATTTTTGGCCTGGGTGGCATAGTCGCACACCTTCCTAATCAAAAACACAGTTAACATGGTCTTGATCTTGCTGGAAATTTGCCATGCCTGCCTTCTTTGTGTGTGGAGAAACAGGGGACTTCCATTGGGATGACTGGACCTTTGTTTCTGGATCATAACCATAGACCATGACTTGGCTCCAGTTATAACCTTCTTGGGGAAATCTGGTTCATTGGTAGCGTTTTGAATCAAGTCATTAGCAATGGCAGCACAATGTTCCTTCTGCTCTGGTAGCAGAAACCACAGATTAAATTTTACTACAACGCATTTCATGCCAAGATCTTGCATCAAAATCTTGGACACAATAGTTTTTGGAATCCCCAGATCAGCTTCTAGTTCTCGCACTGTCAGTCACCGATCTTTGTTGATTGCAGCCTGTGCACGTTCAACATTCTCAGGTGTTCTGCTTATTGCAGGCCTCCCAGAATGTGGATCACTTTTAACAGATTCTCGACCATCTTTAAAGCTTTTATGCCACCCTTTTGTTTGTGCTGAACTCATTGCATCATTCCCAAAAACCTTCTGAATCATGCAGAATGTTTTCACAGCGGAATGTTCAAACTTAATGCAAAATTTGATGCAGATTTGTTGCTCTACTTGTTCAGTCATTTAAATACCTGAGCACATGTACACATGCTCACTCAACATTGTCTACCACCCCCACTGACTAATACAGTGAAGTCATCATTGTTCACGCATGTGAACTCTCCAGTCCACTCTCCTTGGGTGCCATGTTATGCCAATGTCACACAAACGATTTTCAATATATTAACAATAGCTTGACTTTTTCTGGACAGACCTACCTTATATATCAAAATAGGTAATGTGGCCCCTGCTTGCAAAGGAACCTAGAATCTAGAATCAATTGCATGAAATCATTTCATTGTGATTATAGATACTGCTACAAAGTGTTGGAAGAATGCATAATGGGAGGCTCTAGACTAATTTAATGGGGGGTTGGAGACACAGGGAATGCTTTCTTGACAAACATATAAACTAATATTTACAGGAGAAATGAGTCGGACAGACTCAGACACCTATGTGTGCACACGCATGTGAACAGACAGAGCATTGAGGAGAACCCAGAAAGGCAGAAGACAAAGAGAATGGCACCTTTAAAGATGATTAGCTTGGTTAAAAGAATTTTAAAAAGTCCAGAGTAATTAGAATTAAAGAGTTAGAAATAAGTGGTTCAATATGAAACCAGAAAAGTAGGCGGAAGCAAAATAGATATATGCATGTTACATGTATATCTTAATGATATAGCAAATAATGTAATAAACAAGATACATATTTTCTTTAGAACAGCTGTATTTTTTCACAAGTTTGATCCTTGAAGATTGTCAGTGGTATTCAAAATCCACTTATTTGAAACATTGCCAGCTAAGTTAGGTATTACTCTATTTTATAGTGTGTATAACAATCACGCATAAAGCATTTAGTTGGAAATCATGGTAATGTTGCTTTTAAAATGAGTAATTTTACCGAACTATGTTAAACTTTTACTTCGCTTTATGGGCCCAAGCATATTCAAATGCCAAAATCTCATTTAAATGCAAAAGGTAAAAAAACAGTTTTCTCTGGAAGTATGAAAGATTTTTTTTTCAGACCCCTTTTCTGTTTCCTTTCCCAATGATAACAGCTCAGGAAATAAGAAGCCTTTAAAAGGCGAGTATCTTTGTTTTTATTTTCATATTATCCTGGACAAATGTTGGGTTCATATCATTTCTTTTCCTTATTTTTTTCTGAGGATATTACTATGGCATGTCAAAAACTAACACTTTTATTTCCAAGTGGAAATTATACTTGAGACATGAAGATCTATGAAAATGAAAGGAGAAAAATTACATATTAGCAAAGTTCAAAGAGCTTGTCTCTACTGACCAATAGTCATAAAAACATGGTTATAATTTTATTTCCCTTTGTTCTCTGAGTCTCACCATGAAATTGAATTCTAAGTCAAGGATTTGAGTTTTGTTATTCCTTGCTGCTTACTTTGATTCTTTGAAAATACTCTTGTTTATTTTTAATCTACTGGTTCATACTAAATTAATATACTATAGTATGACCAAATATTATTAGTTATGTGGAAAACTAAACTATTTGAGATTCAATCAAAATAAAAGATGTTACACTGTGAGTCTGAATGATCATTCACAGATAATCATATGTAGCTAAGCTTCCCTCTGTACTTTCTTAAAAAAATAACATTTAAATTGTAATTTTATTTTTTAATGATTGCCATTGATATAAACATCATCTATATAGTCAGTCAACTCATTATTTGCTTAATAGTAACTGTCCCATTCCACAAAATTGTTATCATAGTTATTATTATTAATAGAAATAGAGAGAAAAGTCTAAATAAGGCAGGTGAAGAAAATTGAAGACAATATATTCTTTTTGAATAACTTTGCAGAAAAAGGACATAAAAACACAGGAATGTGTGTGTGTGTGTGTGTGTGTGTGTACATACATACATACAATTAGCTCTCCTACACTTGGCTACAGATATAAAAGCTCAGAGAAAAATGTAGAGCTTTAGAAGAATTGAAAGAAGTCTCAAGAAGACAGAAGAAGAGAGCAAGGCACTGTCAGCCATGAGATGGGGCAGGGGAGGTAGGAAGGTACCTACCTGATCATGGAGGTCCCCCTAAACCTCCTTACAGATTTAAAATTTTATCTTAAAGGCAATGGAAAGGGTTAGACAAGGGGCATAATTTGATGCTGGCTGACATGTAGAACGTGGGTGGAATTTATTGCCAAGAGGATTCAGAGAGCTCTGTTAATACACTGGAATAGTAATTGGACAAGAAATAATTGATTGTCTAGATTTGGGTGGAGTCTGAGGGAATAATGATGATAGTGGGAATGCTCTGGAATGAAAAAAAATAATGAGGAGCCACCTAATTGTAAAGTCATCATTCGAGTTATAACTGTATCAATTGAAGTGAGTGTTGACCAATAAAAAGTCTCTACAGCCAACGGTATGCCTTTTTGAAAAATATTTCATGTTTACTTTTCAAATTATGCACATAGACACATTTATTACATCAAATACATGTAAGCCAAAAACACATATTCATCATAATCACATTGCCTTAAGATAGCCAATATTAAATTTTAGTATACTTTCCAAATATATGTGTATGTTAACACACAAAAGAGAACACAAATCCTGCATACTTTCAAAAATTGAAGATAGGCTTTGAATTTAAATTATTTGTATCCTTGTTTTTTTAATTATAAATATACCAAAACATGGTTCCATAAGATAAAATATTATTTTGTAACAGTTTAATTGTTGCAGAATATAGAGAAATACATATAAATGTTTTATATTAAACTTTATATTTGGTTCTACTTTGATATTTACATTTCAAATTAAAAACTAATATATGAAATATTTTTAGTTATATATACAAAGGACAAATTTATAAAGTCTAAATGATAGTTCTTTTCTATTTCTCTACAACTATGTGACCAATCAGTATAATGGTGGGTTTATTGTGATAAGATAGTGTTTAATGAGACTAGTATAAGAAAGCACTTGCAAATTATTCCAAATATGAGAAAAAACTATTTCTATTATCTTCCTTAGCCAAATGCTCCAGTTTTTAATTTGGGCATTATACTACCACTTGTTCATTTCACCACTGAGCCCTTGTCTGAGCTATTGCCAAAATGTCTTAGCTTAAAATTCCACATTAGTTAATTTTTAAGGAATAAAAAGCTTTTTGCAATATACGTGATTAAGCACTGAGGTGGCAGCTTAGATTCCTTCTAAGTGCTTTAGAAATCAAGAATATACTTATTTATTTGCAAGAATTATTCATGGTCAATTTAAACTGTGTTTCTATCAGAAAATTTTTTTTCAAAGAAACAAGGCTCACACTTAGTTTATATCTATGTGTAGGGACCACTGGTTGTGGCTTGTATTTGTTCTTTAAGCTGTTATGCATTCTTTAGAATAGCTTAATATAAAGCAGATATTTGAGTATATAAAAACATACATATAATTTTTTTCAAATTGTTGTGCATTTCAACATGTTAAGCTTTAAATTAAAGGACACTCAAAGTCACTTTTGTCAAAGCCTTTTCCTATAATAACATATTTGGATGATGCAAGATATATTCTCTTGTGATGTCCAAGTGATTGATAAACTAATTTGTATGGAATATACAAGAACTATTCAGACTCTTTGGTTTCCTTAAATGAGATGAATACAAATTTCTACTTTCTGAATAGGACATAAAGTATGCTAGGCCTATTTTAGATGCTTGAGTGTGCCAAAGACGGTATTAAGTTTGGTGTTCATAAATTACTAATCTGGAATACGAGGTTGAATGTATTTTGAAAACTTAAACCTGTTTCACCTGAACATGTATAACTAGTTAATAAGAAACATCAAAAAGACAAAACCCTGAGATCAATGGTCATTTTTTGTAAAGCTATTATATGCTGTTTAAATTGGTTGTTTGGGTCTGTCTATAACATAAGTTTAATAACCTAGCTCAAATGCAGACTTCTAATTTTCAATTAACATAGGAATAATTTTGTTTGCTAAAATAAAATAAATGAATGAATGACAAGTCTGAAACATGAAATGTTCTAGGTAGAACTTTTTAAAATTCCAAATTTCAAAAAATCATGTGGCAACTGTATAGCTCAAGCTTTAAGTATTAACTTTTAACCTTTGACCTTACAGATTTTAACCAATGAAATGTCTCTTTAAACTTTAAAGGAAACAATGATAACGAGCGCCTGGCGATTGCTAGACAGCGAATTCCATATCGACTTGGTCGAGTAGTTGATGAATGGCTACTCGACAAAGGTAAAAAACATTGATTAAAACTTCAAATAAAAAAATAATTTGAACATAACCAAGTAGTACTTCATTGTAACACTAATAAACATAAAAAATAAATTTTCCGTAAAACTAAATTAAAAACAAATTTAAAACAGTAAAATGTAGATAGTAATATTTGCATACCTTGTATAATAATTTCTATACATTTTTAGACGTACCAGCTGTTTAATAATCTTACCCTGTTAATTTAAGGTTAAAGGGACTGTTAAATATAATCCACTAACTCAATCTATGAAGGTACTCACAGCAAGCATTAACCCAAAATGATAAATCATTCATAGATTATATTACATGTTCCAGCCTCTAAATTATTAACTAAAATACATGTAGTTCTGATATATTTATTATGGTCCTGAAAAAAAAACAAACTCTTGGTTTAAACTCTAGGCATCTTAAATAGTGGGCAATATGGATTGCCGGTCAAAATGAAGTCCCTTTAACGTTTGCAACCTTCTAAGAGCATTTGGGAACAAGACCTAATTAAAAGTGAACTTAAAGTAGTGTGCATGCTTTTTATGAGCAGAGAACAATCTGCTAAAACTGGATACTCAATGTGATGATATTGGGACTGTTGCTGAGGATTGCTGTTTGATGGAAATGAGCCATAATTTCTCCATCGGTTTGTGTATCATTCCTGAAGCCGCTTTTTACATCTGAAGCTATTTTTTTCATTCTGTTTTGTTTTAAGAGACTTGCTGAAAGCCAATCAGACAAAATATTTTTGGAATTTTTTTTGTCTCTGACATACTCAGTGTAAACCATGCATTTCTTTTCAGTGCGATTGCCGGAAAAATAGAATAATTCTAATAACAATGGACTATTGCCTTAAAAAAAATAAACAATTCTAAAGAATAGCATATAGATACCTGTGGCCATTAAGTGAATTATGAAATTTTTACCAAAAAGTTAAAATTAGATATCAGTTGCTATAGATTAGTTTCTACCAGTGGTAATTTTAGGACAAATACTTGAAATGTTAGCTATATTACATTTTTTTAATTTAACAATTTAGACTTACGAGACCAACAATATAAGATCTTAAGGTAAAAGGGAAAGGGATCCACTAAAAATTGATTTACAATACGTATATTTGATTGGTCTTTTAGCAAAAACACTACATTTACGATAAGTTGAGAATTTACAAGTATTTGCCAATGATTATGCATTTCATGGACACCTCATTTATCAGCAATGAATTATGAGTCAAATAGCTCTCTTATAGTTTATTGCTCTCATTATCCACCCCATGAAAGATCTGTTTTTATCATCCTTTGTAGAATGTAGAGTTCACAATCAACATTTTTGCATGTATGTAATATTATTTTTACAGGGCGTCAGCTCACAATCTTCAATAGCCAAGCAACCATAATAATTGGCGGGAAAGAGCAGGGCCAGCCCTTCCAGGGCCAGCTCTCTGGGCTTTACTACAATGGCTTGAAAGTTCTGAATATGGCAGCCGAAAATGATGCCAACATCGCCATAGTGGGGAATGTGAGACTGGTTGGTGAAGTGCCTTCCTCTATGACAACTGAGTCGACAGCCACTGCCATGCAGTCAGAGATGTCCACATCAATCATGGAGACTACCACGACCCTGGCCACTAGCACAGCCAGGAGAGGAAAGCCCCCCACAAAAGAACCCATTAGCCAGGTGAGTGTGAAGATTTCATTCCTTTATTTTGGACCTGTGATTATGAAAGTGGGCTTTTTTTCATAGGTGTTTTTTCTAAAATATGGCTGCTTCAGATCTCAGGCATTATGGCTTCCTTTGAGACTTGCTTAATGTACTCAGTTTAACTATGAAATGTGTATATGCTGTGGTCTTAAGATTTGTGGACTGCTATAAATTGCCTTGTGTGTTTGTTCACTGCTTGCTGGTGGTCTTGATTCCGTAATCTTAGTCAGGCTCAAGCTAAGGGGATTGTCTGCTAATTACATAGGATTTTCACTTTTTAATTTAAATGAACAAGTAAATTAATGAAGCATATGAAAGGCCTTGTTTGTTCAAGCTTGCATTCATCAAAATAAAATAAAAGCAAAATTGAGCAGTTGCCTGAAAAACATCTGTTGTGTTTGGAGGTCTTAAAGTTTTGCATTGGTAGGCAAGTGGCTCTAATGGTGAATGATAGGTTTACTGTATTACTGTCTATAAGGAAAATGTGCTATGAATTTACTTGAGGACAAAAATTCAAAGTATAGTACTTAAAAACTATCTTGGGCTAACATCTTTTGTATGACATGCAGCTAACTGCCCTCACCTAGAATCTATGTCAGTGAGCTTATTGTTCAATGATATCTCTATAGTTTTTGAAAAACGGATTTTTGAAGGTTGAATTTGTACAACTTGGAAGTATATTAATTCAGTCCAGATATACTTACTGACTGCCTAACATGTATCAGACATTGGTTTAAATATTGACATTACATCACTGAAGAACAAGAAAAAAAAAAAAAGAAACTACCTGCCTCATAGAGCTTTCATTTTATGAAAAGCTATCAGAATGCTGTTGAAATGCTATCAAGTGGTATTACATCCCTATTGACCTTTGCTGCCATTGTGGCTATTTCGCTGTTAATTCTTTCAGAACTTTGCATTCTCCCTGGTCCAAGATTGATTGTTTCCTTTTGTTTTGTTTTTAATAGTGTCTTTGATAAGTGCCATATAAAGATTTTCCAAATACATTAGTTTTCTAGAAACGAACATTCTAAAGATTCCAGAATAACAATTATTTTTTAAATTGCTTTTATTTCAAATGTTTGAAACAGACCAAGTGTTAGAATTAGAGAGTAAAAGAAAGTGAATTCTTTTGTATTGGCACCCTATCTACTAATTAATATAAGTTTACCAGAGAAAGAAAAAAAATAGATTCTGATTTTTACTTTGAGGGGAAGAGGAGGAGGAACAGAATAATCAAAAAATCGTAAATTCTGTAAATTTATTAAGTGTAGCAATGAATACATGTATCTATGTGCAGCATTCATTCTCTCTTTCTCTCCCTCCCTCTCTCCCTTCGCCTCTCTCTGCACTCAACCACAAAGTAAAATGGACAATCTAATAGGATGTTTATCAATATATATTTACTGATCACTCTACATGTGCCGTACACTGTTTTGGCACAGGGGGTACATTAGCAACAACAAACAAAAACCCTGCCCTTATGGAATATACATTTTAGTAAGAACGTGTGCTTAGAGCGTAATCATTTTGTTGATTTTCTCTATCTTGTTTGGAGTTATAAGATTGTTGATAATAATACTTAGCGCCTTGGATAAAGACTTGTGACTTTAGACAGATTTATATATGTCTAACAGCTCCTTCTGATATTCTTTTCTAATACTTCTCTGGTGATTAGTTATTGTGGTTTTTGGTTTAATGTTTCTTTAACAATAATCAAGTTAAGGTGAATCAGATGCAGAAGAAATAAGACACAGAGAAATTGATAGGTTATTTCTTTTAAATAAAATCATAAGAGGACATTCTAAGATATTCAGAGTTGCAAATGTTCCCATGAATACTATTTGAAAGAACCAGATATCTTCCTCAGTAGTCTTGTTTCATCATTAATGAAATTACAGTTGCCTAAGTTCCTTGGTAAACCAGATGTATCCCCAAATATGGAAAAAAATGATCAGCTTTCTTTTTGTGTTTTTTATCAATTAACAACTGCTATGTATTAAGAAATTATGTTTTTAAAAGAAGTGTGGGAAATAGCTATTTCATTTGTAAGCTACACACCTATACATGAAGAAAGAAAAAATTATGTATTTTCTAATATTAATTAGTGTAAAAGGAAAACAGTCAACTTTCCATTGATTGCCAATTAAAAGAATCTCTTTTATTATAAGCTATTACATATTTAAAGACAGCAGTGGTTTATAGAGGTAAATGATCTAATCAATTAGTAATTACTTGGTTCATTTGAGGGGTTATTGACTTAAATAAAAGATTACTAGGTTCATTAAAAAATAGGTATGTTAAATTTTTACATTTTTAACAGCCCAAATACAGTAATTATATAATTTGGATTAATATGTTATAAATATTCACTTACGGCAACAGTATCTTAAGAGTGGAGTAATAGTTTTAAAATATTTGTTTTTTATAATGACATGTGATTACAGGCAATGCGTGTATGTGGGGGGGACTCAAGGAAGAAAGGAAATTCTATATTTTTAAATAACAATAATTTGTTACAAATTTTCTGTACCTCACAATTGATTTTTAAGTTGTCTTTCAACAATAGAGATAACTGATACATGTAGAGTTTCAAGTATTTGTTTCTTAGAATTGTCAAAATCTTGGAAGTTTAAATGCTTTGTAATGCTAATGCCCAGACCTTTAACCCGTTTTTGCAGGTTGAATGAAGCATCTTCCTTTAACCCTGTCTGGAGTGGCCATCTCTGTGTGCTTTTATCAACTGCCTTACTAAATTGAGTACTGAAAAGGGTCATTTTATTTTTCAAAAACCATCCTGGACTGTTTTCTCAATCAAAGTGTATTTTCCTCAGTGATAATACTGAGCCACTTTAGCTGCAATGGCAATGTACCTTGGGGTGATTGCATGTTTTAGAACTATGGAAACAGGTTTTTGGTCAAGCAGAATTAAATTGGATTCATTTCAAACAGATGAGATGAGGTTTGTTCAGCCATCCTGCAGGGGAAATAGTAGGAGAGAAATGTATTTTTGGTTTTCACAGAGTCACAGAATATAAAATAGTATTCATCAAAATGTCATCCCATAAGATCTTGTTTACATCACCACCTTAAAGTAAAAATCTTTAAAAAGAAAAACAAAGTTTTTCTTCTTTGAATAATGAACAACTTTCAGACTGATGTTTACTTTAAAAGGCATGATTTATATTTTGAACTTAAAGAGTACATTTACCAACCCTTGTGATTAAATGGCTTTTTAAAGTGAATATAACAATATTAATAATACCTTTATATGGAATACATAAAATTCATAAAATTTATTTTACTTATAATATTTAATATCTAAATGTTTCTCTAAGGTGCACTGGTCTCAAAAAAGACAAATTTCCTATAATGCCAATCTCAGAAAGTGATTACTTGCAAATGTTTGATAGTATAAAGATTTTTATGATGCTGAGAGCTTCTTGGGGATGGGGGCAGAAATTTCAAGCAAGGTTTTTGGCTGTTAAATGGTCCCCCATCTTCTGAAAAACCTGGCACTGTCTTAGGGATGTGTACTGAGCTTAACATAAGTGAGTAAAAGTAAGCCAGCATGCAAAACACAACATTCACGCCCTTCAGTTGCCAGTCTGTAAAGAAAGGCAAGTGGAGCTGTGCGGTTTGTGTGAAGATCAAGACTGTGACATTGCTTCTGATCTAGGCTTTGTATCACATTTTATGATCTTTCAGGCTCTTCCCTTTAATAATATTTTACAAGCTATATACATACTATAGACTTGTAGGTGTGTTCAAACTTTTGGCGTCTTTGGGCTGCACTGGAAGAAAAAGAGTATTCTTGGACCACACATTAAATACACAAACACTAACGAAAACTGAGAAAAAGAAAAAAGTTTTAAGTAAATTTATGATTTTATGTTGGGTTGCATTCATAGCCATCCTGGACTGCATGTGGCCCATGGGCCACAGATTAGATTTCCCTGTGAGAATATGGATCCACTGCAATGCCTTTTACTTCAAGGGAGTGCACTATAATGCAAAGAGTACAGTGAATAAGAAGACCTGGTTTCCACTTTCAACACAATCACTACCTTGTTGTGTAACTTGGACAAGGTGCTTAGTTAACCCTGCTGTAGTTTGGCCTGCTACCTCACTACAATAAGTGGATTTAACTAGGAATCTCTTATAGTGTACTGAGCTCTAAAATGTCATCATCTCTCATAATGATGCCCTTATCTCTTCTGATGATTATTTAATGAAGCATAGATTTTATCCTTGACTTTTACACGGGGTGGCCATGCCCCTCAGTTGGCCCCTATCTCCCTCATGTGTACCTGGTATCCCGGTATAATTACTATTAATAGTATTCCTTTTGACTCTTAAAAGCACCCCATTGTACAGCATATATAAATCTATCTTTGCAAGAAAATCATACTTCATAAGAATAATGAATAGTGCAGCCCTGTCCTTTACATTCTAAGCCGAAACTGACTGTGATATCTTTACCTGGTTTCAGGAATCTATACTTTTTTTTCATCTTCTTTTCATCTCATTTCAAAAATCTTAAGAAAGGAGGTAGAATAAGGCTTTGAGAGAGTCTGTTCTTGACTAGAGAAACTATGTTTGCAACTGTTTGTAAGAAATTAAACTACGGCTTGGGGCCAAATCAGTAAATATGAGTGAAATACAGGGTCCGGCAGAAGTAACGCCTGTTTGAGTGGGGTTGGTGGGGTAATAATATGGGTGTAATCATTTATAGTTTTAATTTGAACGTTTCACCTGAAATATCATATGATGTGCTTGAGTGTGATATTGTTATGTTACAGAATTATATGCTTAAGATTTTATAATAAAAGGTTTAGTAATAAAAAAGGATGTTATTAATGGGGGACTCTGTATATTGGAACGCGTCTATGGTTCCAGTAAGGCTCCCCCCCGCCCCCACTCCCCGCAGAGTGGAGTTAGCAAACCTAATCAAGAAAAGGAGGTACTGAGTATTT